GACTGTGAAGCTGGGTGACACGAGATCGAATCCGCCAGGGAGCACCAGTTCCCTCGAGATTACAGGTACACCTTGCTGACGAGTGCCAAGTAGCACGAAACCCGGGTCCAGGGTTTCCTGTTGACTACCTCCAACTACCATCTAAACGACATACTTTCACTGTTATTAATCATGAACCGTTACTTCTCTTACAATATAACAATACGTTTCAGAAAGTAGGTTGGTTACTGAAGTCTATCTTTTATCAATAATGATAAACAACAAGGTAACTTTAAATTTTGGGCCTCTTTGTGTTCTTGGTGAAAACTGTGTCATATATTCCTCACCTGAACTGCCCAATCAAGGTGGACGAACATACGTCAGTGGTCATACTACTACAACTATGTTGATATGCAATCAAATAATTAGACAGTTTGGAGGAAATATAGTTGCCAAATGCTGTAAGGCAAAGTCAGGGAAATAAACTCCACCAGATTGTGTTCCCGTCAGATTAGAGCTCAGCTACCCAAGAGGAAACGGTATGTGGCGGTTAGTTGAAGACTTAAATTGGCCTTCAGTTCTAGATACTGATGGCACGAAATTTTGTCGTAGGGTATGAGAGAGTTATTGTAACAGGAGGATTCCAATGTACTCAAGTGGTTTTCAGTTGTTATATAATTTCTTCGTTGACACTGTGACGCATTTGTTTTGCTTTTTAATTGTTTGTTCATCATTTACCTGAACCATGAACAGTTTCAGTTTCACACTGTTTTGGTTTGGTAGTTCCAAAGTTTTTCTTTGAAAACCTAGAGACCGAAAGCTTGCTGTGAGATCTGTTATAATTATCACGAGAACAATATATTTAGGTTGGTTTCTCGCAATTTAAGTATGAAGTTGTGGTATTGGAATCGGGATTCGATTTTCTTGTTATTTGGGTCGTAAGTTAGGAGCATATTAGTCGGCCGTGCTCCAAGAACGGACAGGAATATAACTTCAAAGTAACAGTAACGGAACACTAAAAACACTAATCTTGAAGTAAATTTGTACTTTGATTAAATCATCTTAGACTGTTTCCAAGCTAGACAGCGCGAACAAAGGATGTAACTCTTCTTATTTGAGTACACACTACGTCTTAATCCGCCATTTTTACTGTATTCAGCAGTCCAAATTAAAAGATATGTAGATGCTTTCCTGGAGGATATTGTTGGATGACCACTGATTGCTAGGATAAAACTATTTTTCTTCCTACTAACAAACCAGGACAGACGACCACTCCAAACACCTGAATATTTGTTCGAAATTACTGGTATTCTTTCGTAAACATGAATAAATAATAATTAACGTGTCATACGACACCTTGATGACTAACCTACCTTGCCTACTCATCTGTAGCTTTTCTAAAGAATTAAAGTGAAACAAACATAGCATTCCACGGATCGCTTAATAATCACCACTGAGAAAGTTTGAGTAAAATATACCTTTCAGACAACAATTATTATTTTAAAGTGATATACTTGGATTGAATATAGTTCGCGACACCTAAAGTGACTTCACAAACAGATAAAAACTAAAGGTTAACAAAGAAAACGTCACAGTTAGATAAAATTGTTTGGTTCTTGTGCCAGCACTAAGCACAATGATAGTATGGCACCCATTAAGATAGAATGAAGTAACTTTTTATGATAAACACTTCTAAAGCTCTCAACACAATAAACTCAGTAACATTTAATCACGATCGATAGTAAACAGAAATTTAATCAATCTCGAACGAAATAGAACAACAAACATAAGTGCTGTATTAATAAGAACACCTACGTCGTGTTGAACACAAGGAGCTGAAACGAAGTTATAAATTCATCAAAACAGGATACAGAACGAATCAGGATCCATAAGGGCCCACAGAAATGATTTATGCTGTTCACTTGTCAGCTGGTTTGCGATCAGTTTAAGAGTGCGCTGTGCTTGGGGAGCAAAGAGCTGAGTACGTTAGAAGATCATTCGGAGAATGAGACAACATAAGTGAGTCGGCTACTTAGTAAACATACAGATATTTGTATAAAATGGCAAAATCAATCTACTACGTTTAGTAATAACAAATGTAAAACTTGGTGTAACATAGGAGACTATAATTTAAAGAACAGGAGTCTGAATATGCTACAGGAGAACGTAGTGTATATCTGAACATTCACACATAACTTGGATTATTCGCTGGGTAAGTGGGGCCCATACTGGGCTAGAGGAACAAAGCTGCTATCAGTCATCACTCATAAAGTTGTGCCCTCAGTAATAAGTCGTTATCAGGATACGGCTCCTCATTGTCACTCATTTGCTATTAAGGATTTTGGATCAATTAGAGGATTGAAAAACTTTGAAAAGCTGTAATACAGTTTATCTACCCATATTTATGCAATTCTGGAAGGACATAAGCCAAGTTATTGTGTACACGCTGTGATCCAATGATCTCTATTAACACGATATCAATAAACCGTGACAACAAGCTGTCGTTACAATTTATATGAGTATCAGCAGAAGAAACGCAAATTCAAAAGCAACTGGTAGACAATGATCAGGATAAATTGCGTCATTAAGATAGGGGATTGAATAAGTGTCTAGGAATTCGTAATGCATCTGCGATTCAGTGTAAAATATGTGTCCAATTCAGTGAGTAAATGTTATATGAGGAAATGGCCCTCACTCAGGATCTCATCTTAAACTGCAACGTTTACCTTCCTTTGCTTCTTCATCCAGCAAGCTCGAATGCATTATAGGGGAATGTTCACAAGAGAAAAAAATCAGCGCATCTAGAAACAATAAAAATGAATACTTTGGTTAAAGTTACACTCATATATGAAGAACTGACACACTAAATGGACATAAAATCACTCGAAAATGCTAAATATGGAATCTATACTAAACACCGAAAGAGGATGGTCATTATCACAAAATCGATCTTTCTCTAAATGACCTTAAGAACGGCGAATAATTCTGTGAATGCTGCTTAAGTATCCTGTCTTTAGACCGTTTTGTTAAACAAAATTATAAGTAATTAGTAATTCCAACTATGATTGCTATAATCCGAGATGTGTTTACAGATCAAGCATGTATTGAAGATATTGGTATGATCCGTAAACTTAACAAATATACTGGAGTTATGTTATTATAACAGCGGGTGATTAAGAACAAGAAGCATGTGTGTGCAGCAGTGTACTTGTGAGGGATAAGCAATGTGTTGTGCTATGTGTTCAAAAACGGAATGGTCAAGGATAATGGTTTTCCAAACAACAATTTTACAGTCTATAATTGTAATTGCATAAATTATAAGAATTAACGAAAAGTGTAGATCACAGCAAAAATTAGTTACGAAGTAAGTCAGTGTTAAATGTGAACAGTTTGTTTGGCCGGAGTTAGGGAAGTGAACAAAGAAGTATTTAAAAAATCACTTGGAAGGGAAATACTTCATATACACGTTGTAGATCACCAACTTAGATTATCTATGTCGAATGATTGGAGGCCTACTCGAGTTAGACGAGAATGGTGTGAAGAACCAGCTAACTTTGAAGTCACACCTTGTGGTCACCACCTTACGTGGACTACCTCAGTGATGTATCAAGGTACCATAGATGCCTTAAAGACTGTACAACGCAGAAGACGAAAGTAAGACCGCTACCGCATGGGCCAGTCCATGGCGTACGATTAACTGATGCACGTTGGTTGTCCTTGGCCTTGATGAGGATCGATGATTTGTTCGATATTCAGTGACCCAACTGTCGGATGATTTGGCTAGGGCTCAGTGGAATTTCACTGGCCCTACAACGCTCTTTGATATTTGAGTAGTAGTTGGCTAGCTGTCTAGAAGTAATAAAGTCCGTAAGGACTAGCAAGACGTAGGGCAATACCAAAGTTCTACACTGCCGTTTCTTATGTGTATATATTCGCAGCTAGGACTTACAGTTCTCATCGACATGGAATTTAATTAAATTTGATTTTTCTTGAAAAATAAGATTTACCAGCTAGTTTTTGTAATGTGGCGGATCCCAGTAACGAACTTGTTCAAGGTTTCCAAAAGCGTGACAAAAATATATTGATAGCATAAACTGAAGTGACGGATGGCATTTTTAACGAACTGGGGTATTAATTAACAAAAAGAGATAACCGTTGTTACGGAATGAACGTTACTCGTAAGATTTTTCTGACACAATAACCACAAATGTGTCCACTTGATGAACAAAGGTTCCTCTGAAGGTTGGTAAGTGTTGTGGCCAAATTTATTTTTTCGAAAGCATCATCAATTTTATAAGTTTGAACCAACTGCTTCATCTGGCGTAATCACTGATACCATGTTCGTTACCTAGTTCGCACTCATGTAGTAATTTCTGCAACTTTTATCTGATAGTGAGGCACATTGAATAATAGAAATTTTTAAGTGACCATACGCTTCCGACGCAGGAACACTGTCTATAAGCTCGGATACCCCATATGCTACTTTGGTCGACAGGATTCCAAGTGCGAAAGAGTATTTCAAACCCTGTGAACGTACGTTACCACATGTGCAAGCCAAATACGTGGGTTCAGTCTACTGAATGGCAGCACATTTATCAGGTTTAAGTTATGCAACTCTACTGAGTGGTCACACTGAATTACTCCTCCAGGCCCAGATAAATACATGCCGAATATGCCAAGAAATCACTACCAACAGGAAAAGAAACGTTGAAATGTTTGTGTGTTAACTAAACATTATAGTTTCGTAGAAAAATGAAGGTTTTTGGTCCCATACAGACAAATAATAGTTGTTGGACATAAATATGCTTACACACAAGGAGTCACAAACAAAAAAAGAGAATTCGTTCTTAACCTTTATCGTTACAAAAATCGTTTGATATAAATGTCATAGCTCATTAAAACTGAAACGATGATATAGCTTGGAAAAGCTCATTGAATAATTTATTAGGTCTTAAAAAGTTCCTTGACATAAAAATTTAAGGCTATAGTAAACACATGGTTAATATTTGCTCGTGAAAAATATATTGGATATTGCATGTCATGAGCCGCATATTTAAAGCTTTTCTACACACCTTGATGTTCAGGTAAGCTATCTGCCCAGATCTTCTAGTAAGTAGGTTGTTTGATGCCCTATAATTTTCAGCATAAGAGAATCATAACAGTACCTTTCTGGTTGCCCTTAAAGCTAAATATAGTCTACTAACATGCTAGGTGATCCTGTGATCATCTCATCAAAATTTCAGTCTTCAGTAATAGGGATAGTAGGTTGGTGAACCTGTATTAATCCTGACACATTGCTTTCCAGTGAAGGTCCAGCTTCTCCTTGAAAGTATTCACTGATGGGGCTGATACCACTTGTTCGGGTAAGGCGTTCCAATGATTGACTACTCGATGAGAAAAACGGGATCCCACTTTAAGTTTATTAGATCGTGGTTTATGAACCTTCTTGCTATGACCTCGGAGATTATTAGTGCTGGAGGGAGCAAGAAGATAAGACATATTAGCACCCAAATCATAATTAAGGATACGAAATGCCAGTATAAGGTCACCTCGTGTCCTACGATACGACAAGGGGAAAAGATTTAGGCGTTTTAAACGCTCATCGTAAGGGAGTCTAGAAAGACCCTTCACTAATTTCGTTCCCACACGCTGGACACGCTCAAGTGAGTTAGTGTCCTTTACCAGATACGGGCTAGCTGCTTGGATACAGTACTCTAAATGTGGTCTAACATATATGGGATATAAAATTCGAAACGTTTCCTCGTCGAAAGATTTGAACGCTCGGCGAAGTGACCATAACGCACGAAAACCTTTGACAGCGGCTGCTTTGCAATGCGTAGTTGTTTTTAAATCATGACTTAATACTACTCCTAAGTCTTTATGCTCTTGAACGCATGGAAGAGGTTTACCCTCAATAGTGTAACGGTAACTATTAACGTGACCGATGTGCATTAGTACACTTTTCCTAGCATTGATTTCTAAGCCCCACTCTCGAGCCCATCTAACTAAATCGTCTAAGTCAGCTTGAAGATCCAGATGATCAACCGCACTTTTTATTGTTCTCCAGATTTTTACATCAACCGCAAACAATAATGTCGACGACCTAAGTAGCAGCGGTAACTCATTAACGTAGAGAAGGAAGAACAGAGGGCCTAAGATAGTGCCTTGGGGTACACCACTTCTGGCCAGCTTCCAATCGGATAGCGTTCCGTTGACCCTCACTCTCTGTCTGCGGTCACATAAGAAATTTCCTATCCACTCATGTACAGTACCTATTATTCCGAAGCTCGTGAGCTTCTGCATAGGACCTACGTGTGAAACCTTGTCAAATGCTTTGCTAAAATCTACGAATATCACATCGACAGACAGACCGTTATCTAGGGCTGCTGTCCAATCCTCTCTCGCAATAATTTATTTATTTATTTGGACACATGAATATTGGTACAAGAGAGCGCCAATATATATGCGCCACACAGAACAATGAATATTCGAAGAGGAATACAAAGAAAGAAAAAAAAGAAGCTAAGGAGCACAAAAAAAAGAGAGAACAATAACGAAGAGATTGGTGTAAGGTAATGTGCTAGTAAACAGGGAACGCAAAGGTACAATCGGAAGAAATCTTTCAGGTAAGGGAGACAACCACTTTTCATGAAGAAAGTAAAAGAAGGATACAGCAAGTTAGTCAAGCATGAACGCTTGTTACGAAATCCGTGTTGCTCAGGAGCTAACAGATTGTGTAAATCTGTGTGGCTTAGCAACCTAACCCGAATTATCTTTTCAAGTAACTTAACGACTATGCTAGTTAGACTGACAGGTCGGTAGTTAGATACTATCTGTCGCTGACCGTCCTTAAATATAGGACTGACTATAGCGTCCTTCCAATCTCTAGGGAGTTAAGCGAGTGAAAGGGACATGTTGAAGAGTGTCGCGAGCGGTTTTGAAATAATGTCCGCAAGAGATGACAGCAACCGTGGATGTAACCCGTCAGGGCCGGGTATCTTACCAGGTTTGAGGTTAGTTATCAACGGAAGGACAGTTTCCTCACTCATCTATACAGATTCAATGGTTGGTATCTCGGTGTGAGTCGGACAAGTATTTGTTACAATAAACGTAGAGAAGACTTCGCTAAAATAGTCTGAAAAAGTCTCAGCTTTTGCTCGATCTGATTCAGCTAGTGATTCTGAATTTTCGTGTAACAGTAACGGGGGAATACCATCACTACGTTTCATTCGCCGTTTAACATACGAAAACAATCGTTTCGGACAAGTACGGCTATCATATACTAACTGTCGTTCGTAAGTGGTACGAGATTTGGCTATGGTTTTCTTACAGATACTACGGAATTTTTGGTACTCGCGCTTAAATGGTGCATGATCTGTCAACAAAAATAAGTCCCAGAAATGTTTCTTAAGCTTTAACAGCTTCCGGGTTTCCTTATTAATCCATGGAGGGCAATGTGATAGCTTACGTGCTGACCATGGGATAAACGGCGACGTTACGAACTCGAATGTAGCCTTAAACTTATTCCATTCATCTTCGATCAATCCATCCGCGTCGACCGACCAATCAGTCGAGATGGCACAGTTTCTGATTGCCGGAATATTGGCTCGCCAGATATTAGGATGGGGTGGGGCAGTTCCGAATTGTATACCATGTGTCCTAAACTTAAAGTGAATTACAACGTGATCACTGTTCACTAATGGGGGAAGGTGCTGAATATCAAAGACATCCTCACAGTGGTGGGTGAGGGCAAGGTCCAGCAGTGACGGATCATGATTGAAATTAATGTGTCGGTTTTGTGATACATTGTACAAGTGCACACTGAATAACGGTAGATAAAAGGTCGCTATCGAAACCACTACCTGGAGCTTTAAGTTCTATCCAGTTGATATGCGGTGCGTTGAAGTCCCCGATGATGAGACAACATTCTGCCATACTCCAAGAACAGATGTGTCTTAGGATAAAGTCGTCAGCAAGACAACACGGACTAAGGTATATTCCCCCTATAGTCACTAACCCATTTCTAGATTTAATCTTACAACATGCTACCTCATATGTGCCACTGATATGAGCCTCCGATATGGTTGATTGTATACGAAAGTGATTCCTAGCGTGTAATATTATACCTCCCCCCTTGCGACTTAAAACTCTGTCACTTCTAGTACAGATATAGCCTGTAATGATGGGAGAACAGTCTATATCTACAGTGAACCAAGTTTCTGTAACAACGATTATATCGGGACATAATTCATCCACCATCAGACTTAGCTCGGACGTTTTATTTCTAAGACTACGAGCGTTCGTGTAGCACACACTTAAGGTGTTTTGACAATCAATCGTAAGAGCATTCTTCCACTTGATTCGATCCTCAAGCGGCCAATCTGGTGGAATACGGATATCTGAGTCACGAGTTTTTAGTGCGCTTTTCAATAATATGTCTCTTTCTTCAAAACTCCCGAGAACCAGCTTCAGGATTCTTCTTGGTTGGGTCTCGCCTCCAACCCATTTACCAAGTCGTATTACTTTTGTAATATGTATCCCTGAAACCTCTTCAGGTAGTACATTCCTTACCACAGAATCCACTAACTGCAGGTCATGTGCATGTCTTCTAGCAGCGTCGTTGTCTTTCGACTCCTCTAGATTCCAAATAATTAAACTAGGGAGGGGTTTAGCTTCTTTTGAAACTGTGTTCACAGCTTTCGACCGTGACGTTAGATCCTGTGTTTTAACTACTGGTATCTTACGATTAGTTTCTATTGTCGAGCCATGTTGGTAGATGCAGACTACTTGGTTGGGGTCCGCGTGACTATCGTAACCAATGGTTGAAGACTCTTGGTGACATGGCTCAGAATCGGTCACAATGGCGTCGGTGTATACACTCTCTGTCTTCTCTTAAACTAAGAGATTAAAATCGCTTCATATCTTTCTTTCTACGAACTAATTTTTTCTTCCTGTACTATATCCTTATTGCAATCTTTCTTTTATATATTACCACCTCTGAATTAACTACTTATATGAATCCGGTGTCCATCTTGTTGTGTTAATGAGGTATGGCAACTTGGACCGATGCATATATGTGCCTGGTCCTACGTTGTGGCTGACTGACTGACTGATTGTCGAGCGAGTGACTCACAACAATGTTAGACGAAGCTTTACTATGGGACTTTGGCGGGGTGGTCTGAGAGTCCACCAAGGACTTATCAAGTAAACGGTCATTAGATTTAGCTGTCTTTCCTACTCTCCTGCGTTTCCGTGTCATCCATATTCCATCAGTCGTAGCATCCACATTAGAACCACTCGGGACAGTAATTGTTTTATCTGGGTCACCGGTTGCTGCTGTAGCAACATGGTCACCAATATCTAATGAGGTGTCACTCATTGGGACTAATTGCTTCCTGGATAAGCAATGTTTTGCTCGCGCAACAAAAACTACAAAGCCAATGAGAGTTGGGCTTTGAGCACCTTTTATATGCAGTGGGGCTTAATCGGGTGCACATCTTATGGAACCACTTATTACACTCATCACATTGCATCCCTTCCTCCACGGGAAATAAACAATATGGTTGTCCACATTTATGAGCAGATCTAGCCATCTTGAAAATCAACTAGAACGGTGACAAAAACAGGATATGTAAAAGGATTCTCAAACCTTAACTAAATAAATCAACTAAAAGTCGACCAAGTATGCTTCGATGCAATAAATACACAAAAGCAAAGTCGAAACACTCAATACAATATCACTTTAACTGGGGTAGATGCAATTAAATTGTAAGCAGTAGTTTTGATGCGTAATTTACGATCAAAACAATTAATTAACTCAACGAGAAACAATACCACTGTCCTTTTAAATAGAGCGCTAAAAATGATGGGTTTTATGTTAGAAATCTTAACATATTATACACAATGTGTATCTATCAGTTATTTTTAACCCGTCCTACGAATTTTCGTGTTATTTTGTGTTGTGCAATCGTGACAGCTCACATATAAGTATACTTACGCCTGTTACTCACAATGCAGCGTAGGCCACTGACCAACATTCTTGTTCAAAATTTTCCAAAACCATCATTTTTAAGGTAAAAATCAACAACTTTTTAAAAAACTTAGAAAATTTTCCGTAAATTATTGAGGGGCAGCATTAATGGGGCTCGATATTTATCCTAGAGCTATGTATAAGAATGTCCTTACAAAATTTACGATGTTGAGATTCACTTCATAGTCAAAATTTATTTACTCACATGAAATTGTAGCTCACGACTTATATGCCTAACTGATTGGTTGTATTTAGGGGTTGCGATCGGACCTACGGCTATCAAATCAGATTCATGTGCCTGTAAATTAATGATTTTGCATTTTGTATAACAATGAGAATTCAGCGACTCTACTTGCCATCTACTCCTGTATTTCCAGCGAATAGGTCTTACTTGTCCGAGTTGAGATGATCGGGAATAAGAAAGTACTTAAACACACAAAACATTTGGTGAAGGATGTTCTGATAAATAAACAGTATGGAAATATGTGGTGGGTAAAAGTTTGCTACCTTCACATTTAAAATAGCAATCTCCAATGTCGAAACTACTCTGACCTTCCCAAACTCAGACTTTAGGTTGCGTATTCTTGATTTTAAATAAAAATGATCCAACCATTTCTGGTTATACGCTTTAATACTTACGGAGATCCGTCTATAGCTACTAATACTGCTATTACCTCTACTATGTGTTCTGCCCTGATTATTTCTCCTGCCTAAGCTGATGAAGTTTAGCAACTTAAACTGGTGTGCATATGTACCAGGTCATATATATTTATTTGAACACAAATATTGGTACAAATGGGCACCGAATACATATGCGCCACACAAGTCACTTGATTTGTGTGTGGGCGTCCAGGCCGAAGTAGGTGGTTTTTATAGTGGGCCACGCTGGAGACTTCAACCTAAAGTCCTAATCCAAAGGCATTGAAGCAACGTCATGAGATGCAGTCCCATGGTAGCCGGTGACCAACGATTGGTTCATACGCCATTTGTTCCTTCAGGATACTGGAGCCCATGTGCACCATTAGTTTGGAATCAGTGGTTTCAAACTCCCCTAGGTGGACTCTCCGTGTCCACTAACCCGAGTAAAGCGCCGGACACTCGCTTTTCGTTTTCTCAATTTCGTAAACAACACCCGTAATGCGAGAAGGCAGTGAGTAGGACTTCCCTGGTAGTGGTTGTGTGCAAGCATTTTGTGAGAGAGGGAGAGGGCTGACTCTCCCCACTCTCGACCGTACTAGGGTATCTAGGTTTGACTGACATAAAGCAAGCAGCAATTTCAAAGTTACCATATTACTTATTGCTTTTACCCTTTTCATCTATTGCTTTCTCTGCCCGCCAGCATTCGTAATCAATAAGTAAAATTTTCGTTTGGCTACGCATGAGTTCTTGTCGGCTTTTACCATTATCTAGCCCCTCTGGACAGCTTTATAAACAGCTGTCAATCCAGTAGATGCTACTGATATATACTGGTC